AGAGTGCCTGGCATATATTAAGTGCTCAATAAATGGGTAGATTGCTCTTTTTAATAATTTAAGCTGCACTCAAATTATTACAGAGAATTCCTAATTGGTCCTCTTGCCTGAAAGCCTATGCACAGATACCACTATTATTAAACAAATAAAAAGCTCTGAACAGTAAAAACATTTATTAAGAATTGCAGAATTTTTTTTCATCCACTGGGCCACATGTCATTTGTTGGAATTTTCTGATAAAACTGTTTAGTAGTGCTATTTTAAAATAATATTGTAATGCCATGAAAAAGAAATCTGTACTCAAATTTCACAAATTTTTGGTGAGGTTTACATTCTGTTGGATTAGTAATCTAGACAAAAGAGAAAAAAATATATTTTGTGTGTTTATATCCTCAAAATCAGACACTAAAACCCCTATGTTCCTACTAGTCATACTAAGAGTAAATGGGCATATCTAGAAGAGGACAAATTTGGGGGACATGTTTAAATTATACACACCTAGTTTGATATAAAGTCAACTTATAATTATTCATCCTCATGATGCAGACTTCAAAAATCATTCAAATCTAGTTTTGCACTGCAAATACACATAAATACAGATATATACACATCCGTTTATACTGCATTATAATATATAAAATTGCAAACATTTTCTTCCAGCCTCACAAGCAATATATCTACTGAATAATACGACTTCAGAGGCTTGATTCCATGATCTTGTGAGCTTCAACATTTCTTTGCTAATTTTAGAATAATTCAACATTTGGAGAGACATTTAGACATTCCAAGCCCTGAAATACATAATTATCAAAGTTAGGTCACTCCAGCCATTTGACTGTAGGGGGACTGGGAAGTACCTTTACGTTTTCATTCTTTGAGAACAGTGGATTCATCCTAGGAGACTGGCATCAAGGGAATTCACCCCATGATCTCAGTCATCTTAGCATAAAGGAGACATTTATTAACTAGCAGGTGTCACTTTCTGAGTAGCTACTATATGCTAGACACAGTGCTAGCTATTTTTATGTTATAACCTCATAGTAACTGCAAGACTAAACAACTTTCATCACATATGTGGAAGCCCTGGGATCTGAACTTGGTCAGCCTGACTCTAAATCTCATGCACCCTTCCTGTCTAATGGTATTTTCCACCAGGTATATTTTCTGAATTCTTGGATAAAGAGTCTCTGATCTCCAAGAAGTCTTCCTTCTAGGGGCAATAGCAGGATGCTATCTCTGTTATTAGATTCCATACATTCCCCTCTGTGTTCTGCTGAGCACAGGCTCCTACTGCTTCTTGCAAAGATCCATCTCCTTCAATGAAATGTTAAACATAGCTTTAGACGAATCCACAGGGGCAAGGATTCTTCTCACTTTTGTCCACTTTATGTTCTCTCAGTTACTGACCTCTTAGAATTAGGTTCAAGTTTCTTGAACTTTCAGAAGCCTTCCTTTCTAGGCTTCCCACCTCTATTATTTCATTATGCTTGTCCAGGAAATCGTCACCCTGCTCTAATGTGAGAGAGGACAGCAACAAACTGAATGCTTTTGCCTTCTAAAAATCAGATTTCATTTGCAGACAGCAGAGAAAATAACTCTAGGTAGGAAGGTTCATGAACCGACATACAGATATTCAGGGTCTATGGAAGCCCTCTCTGGTTTCCTTTTATTCTTCTTTGTGAGACAAGTGGTTTTGACCCTATGCATGCACTGAAACTGCTCTTATCAAAGTCGCAACTTTCCTGGTGCAAAATTAAATGTGATCTCTTATTAAACATAGATAATATTCTCTTCTTTTTGAATTATATAGAATTCTACACTAAAATCAATGTCTCCAGTCACTTCTATAACTATCTGATTTACATTTACTCCTGACTATAAAGAATGCTGGAAACAATATTAAGTAATATTTTCCACTTTTAAGTTTTCCCTTGGATTCTGTTTTGTCTGATATTAATATCGTCATGCTTGATTCTCATTTGCCGTTGCTAATAGATCTTACCCTATCTTTTTATTTTTAATTTTGGTGGGTCACTACGGTTAGTTTTATAAAAAATTGTGGTAAAAAAAAATCACATAAAATTTACCATCTTAGTCATTTTTAAGTGTACACTTAACAGTGTTAAGTATATTTATATTGTTGTGAAAAGAGATCTCTAGAACATTTTCATCTTGCAAAACTGAAATTCTACTCATTAATTCCTCTTTCCTCTGTCCCCACAGCCTCTAGTAAGCACCATTCTACTTTCTGTTTCTAGCAGTCTGACTACATTAGAGGTGGGTCATTATGTTTTAAGATTATCTCCTTTTTTCTTCTTCTTATTTTTAGTAATACAGATGGGGTCTTGCTGTGTTGCCCAGGATGATCATGAACTCCTGGCCTCAAGCAATCCATACGCCTTGGCCTCCAAAGTCCCAAGATTACAGGTGTGAGCCACCATGCCCAGCCAAGACTGCTTCTTATAAACGGTATTTAGTTGAATTTTTAAAAGCTTAATCTGAGTTTCAACCCTCTAGTGTTTAGCCCAAATGCATTTGTTGAGATGATAGATATATTTGAATTTATTTGTCATTTTCATTTCATCCTTTTTTTGTGTGCTTATGTGCTATATACTTTATCTTCTATGTTGTTATAAAGACTAGTTTTTTTGACTGCTTTAATTAATTTAGTACTTTGAAAGTTGAAACATTGTTTTTATCTTATGAGTGACTATCTTTAAGTTATCAAATACATACCGAAGCCTATATTTCCCTAATTATGTAGTCAAGAACAAGATCACTTCCAATTTTCTTATATGCAGGTGCAGAGGCCAAGGGAAACTTCTCCTCTGAAGGTCTGCTGAAAAATTAATCAGGGCAACGGCATACAAACTTTATTAATGTATACACAGGGAGAACTGCAAAACTCCAACTAGAGTCAGAAGCTTCTGTGCCTTCCTGGCAAAACAGGAGACAGAGAAGAGGAATTCTGTTAAAGGGATTACTAGGGAGATGAATCAATCAGGGAGCAGGGATTAACTAGGACATTATCTTGTAAGAAGGTCCATTCGGGTGTGGTTACATCCTTGGTCTAACGAGAAGGAGACGATCTCCTTGTTGGGTCTGGATTTTAGGCAGATAAAGAACTTTAACTTCATCCTGTGCTTTGGGATGGTGGCTGAGGAGAAAGGGGGAAGGTCAGGTAGACCCTGAGGCCTCTTCAGTTCATCATGTCAAAGTGCCTTATTTGGTGGGTGTGGGTTTCTGAACCCCAACGCAGGGATAAGAAATTTAACATATATCACAAAAAAGTAGCATGAAGGTTCATGGCCTTTTAAAAAAGGACCATGAACAAACCTTTGACTCAAAGTCAAAATAAAATTCTAGTTAAGTGATTCCAGTTTACATCAGTCATTTCAATCATTCAAGCAAAGAACAGTATCTGGAATTTTAGCTATCAAGTCAAGAAACCTCTTAGCCCCTGCATAAAACAGGAAATAATTTTCTAAATGATTCGATCCAATGTATCAACTATTTGTTCAATAAATTTCCCACTACCAATCTGTGGAATATCCATGGGAAATTGTATATTCTGGAACCATTACGGCCATGAACTAACTTGTTTCACATTCTTCTGCTACAACTCAAGGCAGGCAAATTAATTTCCATTATCCCCAGAATCATATGGAAGAAAAACTGCTTTTAAAGACTAAAGAATATGTCCTAAATATTAATAGAATCTATCCAGATAAAAGAGATCTATCTAGAAGTAACAGAAAGACTGTCTATGATACACCTACGACTCTGCCCTCGTACTAACTGTAATCAGAAGTTCAGAAGTGTATCATGAAGATCGGGTATTCATTTTTCTAATCATCAAGAAATTTTTAAAAATTTTTTAAGAGATAGGGTTTCACTTTATTGTCCAGGCTGAAGTGTGGTGGAACAATCATCATTCACTACAGCCTTAAACTCCTGGTCTCAAGCGATCCTCCCAACTCAGCCTCCCAAGTAGCTGGGACTACAACACTGGGCCACCACGCTTGATTATTTTATTTTTTACAAAGGTGAGATCTTGCTTTGTTGCCCAGGCTGGTCTTGAGTTCCTGGTCTCAAGCGATCCTACCGACTTGTCCTTCAAAAGTACTGGGATTACAGGCATGAGTCACCAGTGCCTGACCATACGTTTTAAGTGACATAATAAAGCAATATGCTCTATAAGTCATTCTTATGTATTAAGCATAAGATAAGTGAGAAATGGTTAACATGGACATACTTTTGTCACTATTTAAATAAGAAATTAATTGATTAGAGTATTCTACCCATGACCTTACAGCCACACCAAAGGGTATTGCTCCCCAACCAAGGACCAAATACAAGTTCTTTTTCTCCTTCCTTCAGTGTAATACAGGAAAGAACACAGCTTAGAAGCAGAAGTTTAATAAGTGAAGACAGGCCTACCCACTCACTGGCCGAGTGATGTGAAATATCATTTCCTCATTTATAAAATGGATAACATAATTAACTGTTTCATAAGGCCGTTTTAAGGATAAAATAAAATCACATATTATCAACTTTCCAGTGCAGTGCCTGGCCCACAGTGTTTTAAGAAAACCACTTAGCTAATTGCTTATTTTTCACTGAAAGAACCCACATTCACTAACGCAATACATTTACTGACGATACATTTCAAATATAATTGGGTTTTTTTTTTACCACCTTCCTAACAATAACCTGTTTAAACTTTCAAAACATAGGCTGTATTTGAATCTATTCATGTGCTAAGAAATAAATAACAGACTTAGATGAGATATTCATACAAACATGAGTTTGGTTTACTACGGATCAAAATGATGTTTTCATAAGGACATTCCAGGGCCCTAAGTCTCAAGCATGACCCTAAAGCACTGAGTTAACAAGGTCTCCCTGTGAAAACAACAGGCCTAAAATCCCATAGCTTCATCAAATTTGAAATTATATATGAATGAATAAAGGGATAAGTTAGTTTACTCTCAGGTAATTGCAATATCCACTACTTTCTATAATATCTTTGTGAATTAAATTACAGTGTGTTGGGGGAAATCATATGTTTTCAGAGACAATGCTTTCCCCCCAATCAGGATGATCCCAAACCCTCTCTATCATGTCATTTAGAGTAATTGTCTTGCCTCTCAAAAATCCAAACCAGCTATTTAAAAAATACCAAAGTTATTCAGAGTCTTTCTTTCTGTAACGCAAGGTCATTTTGTTTGTGTGGTTGCTTCCATTGACCTATAGACAAAGCTCAATTGTACTTCTCACTAGGCTGTCTCCAAATGAATGCAGCAATGTATCTGGTGTTGCTTAGTATAAACTCACTTCAGTTATAAGTTATACCATACAGAGAACTGCCTTTGAAGAAGCAATCAACACTAAGGAATAGATACAGGTACATGACTAAAACTAGAGACAGACTGTCTAGATTACAATTTCAGCTTCACAAGAAATGTGACCTTCATCAAGTTATTTAACTCTGTAAGCCTTGGTTTCCCTTACCTGAAAAATGGGTATTGTAAGAGTATCTAGTCATAGATCCGCTATAAATCTTAAGTGAGACAGGTAATTCATACTTACCAAGCACGGCACTGCATTCAACATATTCTCAATAAATACCAGGCTCATCATCACTATTTTTTTTTTGAGACAGGGTCTCACTTGTCACCCAGGCTGGAGTGCTATGGCATGATCATGGCTCACTGCAGCCTTGACCTCCCAGTCTCAGGTGATTATCCCACCTCAGCCTCTCAGGTGACTGGGGCTACAGGCATGCACCACCACACACGGCTAATTTTTCATATTTTTTGTAGAGATGGGGTTCCACCACATTGCCTAGGCTGGTCTCGAACTCCTGGGCTCAAGTGATCCACTCGCCTTAGTCTCCCAAAATTCTGGGATTACAGGCATGAGCCACTGTGCCTGGCCTTCACTATTCTTATTATTCAAGAATTATCAATGGAATTTTCCCTCTTCTGCAAAATGTATGAAAATATTAGCTATTTCTAATCCAGATAAAAATTAAAATGGTATAACATTGAAATCTTCAAGGAAAAAGGCTCTCTGGGTGGATACCATAATCAGGAATCATGCTATTTATACCACTTCGTCCTCACAACAGCCCAGAGAGCTGGATATTATCATCTCCACATTAGAGATGAAGGTAAAGCTCACAAAAACACCAACAGCTAAAATGGGTAAGAGTGGTGAGTCAAACACTATCTCCCTGACTTCCAGTTCCTCATATTAAATCATGCTCCCCGCTTAGTGTCTGGTACCAGCAGTCTCACACTGAATGTCTGCTAATGAAAACATTAAAAACAACAACAACAAAATAAACCAATACTAAAGCACCAATAAGTATGTGTGCTTTATAAAGAAAGCCTACGCTTGGCCAGGCGCAGTGGCTTGCACCTGTAATCCCAGCACTTTGGGAGGCCAAGGTGGGAAAATCATGAGGTCAGGAGTTTGAGACCAGGCTGGCCAACAGGGTAAAACCCCATCTCTACTAAAAGTACCAAAATTAGGCAGCTGTGATGGCATGCACCTGTAATTCCAGCAACTCGGGAGGCTCAGGCAGAAGAATTGCTTGAAGCTGGGAGGTGGAGGTTGCAGTGAGCCAAGATCTCACCATTGCACTCCAGCCTGGGCGACAGAGCGAGACTCCATTCTGGGGTGAGGGAAGAAAGCCTAAGCTTATGCCTCATTTATTTAAACAACATTTAGTTAAACAAATAAACACACAATTTAGAGAGTCACTTAATATCTCTGGCAAGGGTAGATTCCAGTACTCTCCTTCTCCAATCCTAAAGGATTCTAAGTCTCAGTGTTATATCACCCTCCCCTTAAAAACTGATTGCTCTCATAGACTGCTGGTGAAAACGTAAAATACGTAGGCACTGTGGAAAGCAGGTTGGGTGTTGCTTATAAAACTTAACATGCACTTATATAACCTAATAGCTACACTCTTGGGCATTTATCCCAGAGAAGTAAAAACTTAGGTGCTCACAAAAATCTGTATACAAATGTTCTTAGCAGCTTTATTTGTATAGTCCCAAACAACCCAAATGTCCTTCAAGGAGTGAATGTTTAAATAAGCTGTGGTGCACACTATGGGATAGTATTCAGCAATAGAAAGGAGCAAACTATTTATAACAACTTCAATGGATCCCAAGGTGTTATCTCAAAAGGTTAAATCCAGTATAATTCCATTTATATAACATTCTTGAAATGACAAAATTAAAGAGATGGAGAACAAACAAGCATTTATCAGTGGCTAGGAAACAGTGGAGGGATGTGTGCACCTATACAGGGATGGCATTAGGGAAGGTCTTTTGTTTAATGGAACAATTCTGTATCCCGATTATTGTGGTGGTTACACATACCGTACATGAGACTAAATTGCACTGAACTACACACACACACACACACACACACACACACACACACACACACACAAATGTGAGTACAAAATGACCAAAACTGAACAAAGCATATAGTCTACTTTTACAGCAATGTACCAATAGTACCAATAAACTGGTTTTGATATGGTATTATAACTGTGTAAGATGTCACCATTAGGGGAGCTGAGTGAAGGGTACATAAAATTCTTCATGGGTAAGTAGACTCTTGTGAGTCTATAATTACAATTATTTCAAATGTAAGTAAAATAAAAAACAAAAATCCCAAGTGGCTTTTCAGCTCATTCATATGTAGAAACCCATAAACAGCAGAGGAGGACAACGTTCCTCCTTTTATGGGGTTGTGATTTCCCCCAAGTCACCCTAGCAGCAGACCAGAGACTGGAACTCATGCCACCTAACTCAAAATCCAATCCTCTGTCACACCTTTTATAATGGGATAAAATGAAGAAGCAAATGCATTAACATATCCACAATCGTGGGCTTTCAGTAAAGCCATTGCCCCAGTGACAAGTCCTTGGGTTTGGTTGTCCAAATGAACAGGGCCTTGAACACATCTAGACATGGAGCCACTTTTAACTCTGCCTGGAAAGGTCAGGGGAGGCTTCCCACATGTAGGGAAATTTGAGCCGAGTTTGAATGTTGGGTAAGAGGTCACCTGGCAAACCTGGAAGGAAAGAACAATCTAGGAAGCCGCAGCCTGGCCAGATTCCCAGCCTTGGAACACTACAGGATGGGGACAGGGGTTGTGTGACAGTGCAGGTACCTGTTGGGGAGAGCCAATATGAGCCTGCAATGAAGTGGATACCAGGTCCAAAAAGCCCCTAGTTCCATCTGACAGGTGGTAACTCTCAAAGCTCAAGGATAGACACCCACCATGCTCACCAATAACGGGGAGTCTCTTAACACTTCCCTTCGTATTTTAAGATGCTTACATTATATTTCTCTTCCACATGAATATCTTTTGCTAGTTAATATAAACAAGATGTCATGGTTCTCTCAATAAGTATAATAATGTGATGCTTTTGTCAGTTTTTTCTTTTTTCTGTCTAAGCAAAGCAAGTGATTCTAAGCAAAGGAAGTAAAATTAAGCTAGTGATGAAGGATGCCAAAATCACTACTCCAAATAATATACAAACTATAAAGGAATCTCAAGAGCAGGTTGAATCAGAAAAGGTATGCTCTGAGTATGCACTTCCTCAGTGCTGGTCTACACTTTCAACATAAACTTAGGTCATGTTTTTAGTTAGAAAATGTGGGGAAAAATAAAATGTACAGAGGCCGAATAAAAATACAGACATGTCCTACCAAAAGGAACCAATAAAATTCTTGACTTAAATTTAACAACTTTGTTCACTATGGCAGTAAAATATTAATGGCATTGCAAAGTTGAATTCACACGGGCAGTAATTCACAATCTCTGGAACAGAGTCTTTATTTTATATCAAGTCATTACATCAGTAAAAGTTACCAAAAACAAATCCATTTGACTTCCAGTATTTGAGGCAATAAATAGGGCCATTTCTCACAATGTCAAGTTGGCATAGAAATATGGAAACTGATAATAGTGAAAACCTACACGATACAAAGGAAATGGCCAGCCGTATGCCATAAATATGTCTTAAAACTAACAGTGTGATCCTGCTCCTGGTAGTGTTTGAGGGGTCTTCTGTTTTTTGAAATAATCTAAAACTCACAGCATGAGATACATGCTGCCCACTAGATGAGATCAGCTCTCCCAGCACTTGAGGTTGTTTCAAAAGTGTTGAGGCCCATGACTAATAAATCACTGCACGGTGACTGCAGCATCAAGTATATGCAGCCATGTGATTCCCTGTGCACCTGGGAAGGGCAAAGGAGGCAAGCAATTTCCTTGCCCGGATGCAGGGATGCCAACTCAAAAATGCCAGTGTGGCTCCTTCACCCGTATGCGAAACTTAGTTGCCCTTGGTTTTATAGGACAAGGAGAGAGAAAACCAACGACTTTCACATACAATAAACCATGGGCTCCTTAAGGGTGCTCATGTCTTATTTCTCCTTGTATCCCTACTCCTAAGACAACATCTCTCAATAAATGTTTTCTGACTAAACAAATCAATGCATGGTGCAATGCAGGAAACAACTAAAATGTGACACATACATTATTTATTCATCTTTTTTTTGTTACAACATTTATCAGATAACTATAATGAGCCAAAGATCATGCCAGCTAATGAGAAAGAGAAAAAAAAAATCATATGGCACAGTCCCTGCCTTTAAAGATGTAATAGGAGAGACGGACATGAACACTAATGACATAAAAAGGAGGAAGGGAAAAGCATAAAGTGGGGTTGTAACACGCTTCACGGTTTTAAACTGATCTATCGGCACGGGGGGAGGAAGAGATGCTTTTAAATTCTATCCCTGGAAAGCCGCCAGTGACCTACAGGGAAAACACACAGGGTCTGGAGGCAGAAGACTAAGTCAGACAGAAGAAAAAAAGGGACCCCTTCATATAAGCATCGTTACTGTGAGCCTGAAAAGCCTTCAAAAATCTCATTTCGGGCAGATTTATTAATATCTGCATTGAAGGCAAGGATGAAAGGAGCTTGGGGTGGGAGGTTGGCAGTCCTTAGACCATTAGGAAAACAGTGGACTGCTACAAAGGTTACTTCTCACTTTGATAGGATCTCATAAATCCATGTAAACTGGCCCCCTACTTTAGAGCCGGAGGACATTTTCTCTGTGGTTGCTTAATCTTAACTACAGGGATTGCTGAAGAGGTTTAAGTCACACTGTTTCAAAGCACAGTTCTGCTTAGTTCATCACAGTTAATGAAGCAAAAATGAATCCTTTTGCCATCCCAAAAGGATTTCTAGGTATCACAAACAAAAGAATGGAACTTAACCAGGAAAAATCTGGGATTAAAACAGGACATTTGGTCATCCCAGTCTTGTGGCAGCTCACACAAAGGATGCAATGTTAAAAATAGTATCAACAACATTCACACAGAGATGGTATCTAGAAACAACACAAAGATTGATGGCATACCAGCCCTGAAAGGACCTTAGAAGAGGAAGCCATAGAGACCAGGCATGCATACACACAGCAAGGTAGTTAAACAAATGCTTTAATGGAACAAAAGGGATGCGGGGGTGGGGGGGTTGGAGGATGGAAAAGGAAGGTCTTTGGTCTTGCTATTTCACCTACGTTCAATATCCGTGCTTAAAAAGGAGGAGGGAACATGGGACACATACAAAAAAGGTTATTAAAGGATGGGCAGAATATTCTCTGGCCTTAGGGAATTTACTCCTGGTTTAAACTTCTCCTTGGGCACTTGGCCCACAGCTTGACAGATCTACTTTCCCTACAGGATTCATTAAGCAAGGAGGCCCCTATCAACCAGTCCTTACTCGTTGTCAGGAATTCTAAGTTTCACTCCTGAATTTCAACTGACAATAAACAGAAGTGAAATAGATGAATCCAGAGATTGGTATTCAGAGTTCTTAAAATTTAGAATCTCAAATTCTAGGATGATCAACTTCCCCTAAATTCCAGAATAATTTTCTAATTCTCTAATATTAAAGTCCTTCTGAGATCTCTAGATCTTCATTCCAACCTAAATCCCAGAATAGGGATACAAGTCATACCACATCTCTCCAGTGTTTTGAGGAAAGGTGACAGGCTATACTGATGGTGGCCATGTGGGTGCCTGCGGGAGCTACTGAGACCTTCAAATGCAGAAGCATCTCCCGGGGATAGTTCTTCCTAGCCAGAGAGAAACCATAATAGGGTCCAGGGCTGATCGAGAGAGAATTTACTATTCCATTTCACAACTGTTCTTCTTAGGAGCATTTTCATATAAATGAGCACACTTTCCTGCTTAATCTTTTATTTAGACTCTTTGATTTTACACCTCTTTGCCTGAATGAAAAAACGCATGATATAAAAAGGCTGCTTAGGCCAGGTAAGGTAGCTCATGCCTATTATCCCAGCACTTTGGTAGGCTGAGGCAGGTGGATCATTGAGCTAAGGAGTTTCAGACTAGACTGGGGAACACAGTGAAACCCAGCTCTACTAAAAACACCAAAATTAGCCGAGCATGGTGGCGTGCACATGTAGTCCCCGCTACTTGCGGTACTGAGGCAGGAAGATTGCTTGAAACTGGGAGGTCGAGGCTATAGTGAGCCAAGACAGCGCCACTGTACTCCAATCTGGGAGCCACAGTGAGACTCTGTTCAAAGAAAAATACATATATAGAAAATTTTAAAAATTAAAAAATAAAATGGCTGTTTGGATGTGTGGTTATAAAGGATGAAGACTGTTTCTTTGGAAGAGTGCTATATATAGGCAGGTATATTAAGCAAACCAGTGTTTCTCAAACCACGAGTTATTTCTCATTAAGGCTTCCTGAAACAGTTTCTGGAATAATATTTTTTAACAGACTGGAATGGAATGGAGTGGGATGGCATGAAGTAGAATGGAAAATAAAATACTGGCATGTACCACATGCTGTCAGAATAGCTATTATCTGGTAAAACCTGTGCCATGGTAGGAGGCCAGAATGATGTCAATTTGACATTTAGAAAAATGGAAATGCAATGTTCATATTACTTTGAATACTTCACTGCATTACAATGCTTCAGAATCGTTTAATTGTAATTAGACTAAGTCTCAGAGTCTATAATTTATAGAGTTCAGATAGATTAATAAACAGGGTTAGAGATTTTACTACAATAGCAACGCTCTTTCTCCCTGAGGCATGGAAAGCCAGCAGCGACACGAATAGCTTGTGAGAGGGGTAAATGCCGTAACCAAACCATCTAAACCCTACATCTCAATCTCTTCCAAAGCATCTGCTTTCAATATGGCAGGTTGACCCAATAAACTGCAGAAGGTATAAAAAGTGTTTTTACTTATGTCTTTAAATAACCCTAAAAATATAACCTTAATAAAATATCTAAGACCAGAAAAATAAGGAAGTGAATTCTACAGTAAGTATATAGGTGGGTTTCAAAGTGTCACAATGTGTTATTCTATTTAATAAGAAAATGCTATGCTTCAATGAGGCATATTCCACTTCTCAGAATAAAAGTAATATGTCATAATAAAACACATTTACTTCAGTAATTTCTTTAATCAGTATTTACTCATGATTGCTAAAAAATTTATTTCACCCTTAAAACATATATATATATATATATATATATATATGTATATATACATACACTAAAAATTTCCCACATTTTTTTTCTTAATCAATAAAGCTCTTTCACACTAAAATGAACTCCAGATGGATTAAAGACTTAAACATAAGACCTAACACCATAAAAACCCTAGAAGAACACCTAGGCAAAACCATTCAGGACATAGGCATAGGCAAGGACTTCATGACTAAAACACCAAAAGCATTGGCAACAAAAGCCAAAATAGACAAATGGGATCTAATTAAACTCCAGAGCTTCTGCACAGCAAAAGAAACAATCATTAGTGTGAACCGGCAACCAACAGAATGGGAAAAAATTGTTGCAATCTACCCATCTGACAAAGGACTTATATCCAGAATCTACAAAGAACTAAAATAGATTTACAAGAAAAAAAAAACCCATTCAAAAGTGGGTGAAGGATATGAGCAGACAGTTTTCAAAAGAAGACATATATGAGGCCAACAAACATGAAAAAATGCTCATCATCACCGGTCATTAGAGAAATGCAAATCAAAACCACATTGAGATACCATCTCACACCAGTTAGCATGGTGATCATTAAAAAATCTGGAGATAACAGATGCTGGAGAGGATATGAAGAAATAGGAACACTTTTACACTGTTGGTGGGAGTGTCAATCAGTTCAACCATTGTGGAAGACAGTGTGGCCATTCCTCAAGGACCTAGAAATAGAAATTCCATTTGACCCAGCAATCCCATTACTGGGTATATATCCAAAGGATTATAAATTGTTCTATTATAAGGACACATGCACACGAATGTTCATTGCAGCACTGTTTACAATAGCAAAGACTTGGAACCAACCCAAATGCCCATCGATGATATACTAAACAGGGAAAATGTGGCACATATACACCATGGAATATTATGCAGCCATAAAAAATGATGAGTTTGTGTCCTTTTATGGACATGGATGAACCTGGAAACCATCATTCTCAGCAAACTGACACAAGAACAGAAAATCAAACACCACGTGTTCTCATTCATAGGTGGGTGTTGAACAATCAGAACACATGGACACAGGGAGGGGAGCAGCACACACTGAGGTTTGTTGGGGGGGTGGTCTAGGGGAGTGACAGCAGAGGGTAGGGAGTTGGGGAGGGATAACATGGGGAGAAATGCCGGATATAGGTGATGGGGAGGAAGGCAGCAAACCACATTGCCATGTATGTACCTATGCAACAATCCTGCATGTTCTTCACATGTACCCCAGAACCTAAAATGCAATAAAATATATATATACATAAAATGAAAAAAAATTTTAAATTAAAAAATAAAACACTTTCTGTATAATTTACTATTTCTAAATCCTTGGTCAGCTTAATTCTGCCTTAAGTAGGACATAATTTGTTTTAACTGAGACATAATTATCCCGATTGTGGCTCTTTAATTATTTTATATTACTAAATTGAAAGTCAGTGTATTTTTCAAGTAAATATGATTAAAACATTAATAAATATATAAAATTTTGTCATTTTAAAATAATTAAAAACCCATAGAAATAAATAGCTTTTCATTAATATATTTAAGCTTTACCTTTTTAGTCTTATGTTTGTGTCAAAACTAGGCATCTATCTCTTTGTACTTCTTCTCACTATACTTCCCTGATGAGAGTACCATACACACTATAGCTACTAAAGAAAAAAATATTTCCTGAATGGAAAGACTACATGACACATGAAAAATTTATTCCAATATCCAATTACAGTCTAACTTATTTATTAAATTTTATTCCCTAAAGCAAATTCTTATTCGCTATATAACCTATCTCCTTTAATCAACAGAAAGCCCTCAATCCAACCATTCAATATTACATCCACTTAACTATCCTGTCGTCTTGAATAAGCTGGCTGCAGACGATTGTGCAAGGAGTTACATATAGAAATTCAAATACCAGAAACTTTTAAAAAAGTAACCAATAGCTTTTTCTATTTCTTTTTTCCAAGGGTTCCATAAAATTGTAATCAATCCTCTCACCAAAAAAATTTAAACAGTACAAATTACCACAAAGTTTAATGATAAAAAACTGAATTTTGTTGCTTTCCCAGTGGAATATCTGAAAGGCCAAGAGAAAATAATAAGAGAAACCGAACCTTATTCATTCCCTTACATATCTTCCTAATTCCAGGCCACCTGCCCCAAATGATAATCTAAATCTTTAGCCAAATGGAGAAAACCAAGTATTTGGCAACCATCAAGAGATAATCAGATTTTTCTTGTGTCATACGTCAGTGCCATGGGTTGAAGGGGGAATTATTTGGGCCAATTTCCAAAGATGTAGTGAAAATTAAATACACTCTCAGAAGTTTTGGCCTCAGTGTGGCTTATAACTCAAATCAATAGCTTATAAAATTTCAAAGCTCTGAAGATATTCAGAACAAAAAGAATGAAACATTTCATTTTATGGCTAATATGTTTTAATATCAAAAGAAATGTAGAAACTATGAAGAACTAGCAACACACATAAAGCCATTATCTCGTAGATTTTTCTCTCCTGGTTGATTTCACACTTGCAATCCCAGAGAAGCTTGTAAATCACTCAGCCAAACACCATGCCAGAATTCCCACTCTGACAGGCAAGTACAAGGCACTCAGGGAACACAAAATAATTTTTATTACCTTAATCTAGACAATTATGAGAAGATAAATCTGCTACAAAATGCCATAATTCACTCACTCACTCACACGTGTGTAACACCTATGTGTCAAGCCCTTTGCTGGGGGATGATGTGGCAAATAGAATTGTGTCCACCCTCAGAATTTATAATTAGGTGGAAGACAAAAGACTGGATACAAATAACTAGAGTTCAAAGTCAAATGTTGTAACTACCATGAGGCTGGCATAAACAAAACACACTAGGAGTCAGGAAGAGGCAGAAATTACTTCTAGTTTATGTGATCAGGCAGGGCTTTTTGGAAACAGACCACATTTAAATTGGGTCTTGAAGGATGAATAAGATTTTGAAAGCAGAAACTGATGGATAATTTGAAAAATGAAAAGAAAGAGGGAGAGTGCTGACATTTTCCAGAAGGCTAGCAAGTATGCCAGCACTGTGCGCTAGGAGCTTTTATGTATGATATCTCATTTATTTTCAATGGGAAAGCACCATGGGATTCGGCTATAGAATTTAGGAGAAAGGGCCGGGCGCGGTGGCTTACGCCTGTAATCCCAGCACTTTGGTAATGTGGGCGGATCACGAGGTCAGGAGTTTGAGACCAGCCTGACCAATATGGTGAAACCCCGTCTCTACTAAAAATATAAAAATTGGCCGGGCGTGGTGGCACACACCTGTAGTCTCAGCCACTTGGGAGGCTGAGGCAGAAGAATTGCTTGAACCCGGGAGGCAAAAGTTGCAGTGAGCTGAGTTCACACCACTGCACTCCAGCCTGCGTGATAGAGAGAGACTCTGTCTCAAAAGAAAAAAAAAAAAAAAAAAAAAAAGGAATTTGGGAGAAAGGAGAAAAGGCAGGGAAGATGGGTTGTGTGAGAAGGCGGCAGGGTGCCTCCAATACTGAGCCAAAAAATCTGAACTTTACATGAGGAAAAAATGGGAAAATACCAACCACGTTTTGGCTGCCAAAAGAGAAGAAGAGAAAGAAGACAGAAAGAAATAAAGGGTATTGGGTCATACATATTGCTATGGATAATTGATACAAATAACTGCCAAGCACATTTAAATAATTTTGATGATTGCTTATGTAATGCCTGTATGCTGTATTTCACTAAAAGTATTAAGATTTGGAAGAATCCTAAAAGATAATTTATTTCACCTTCAACTCAATTGAATAAATCCCTCTACAACATCCCAGAGAGATCCGCCAGCCAGTCTCAACGCTTACACTACAGGGAACCTCACAGCAAGCCCCTGCTATGTGTCAAGGCCTCTGTCAGAGGAGGTTACATTTTCCACAGCTTGAGAGGTTGCAAAGCATTTCTCTGAGCTAAAATCTCCCTTGCAGCTTGGTCCTTTGGTCCCAGATCACACACAAAACAACTTTTTTCCATCTATTCTAAGACACGCTTTTTACACATTTTAACAACTATAAAATCAGAGGGAGCCTTTACCATCAATTCTGCATTATAACTTTAATAGGCAGCAATTTTTCCCAGAAGCAAATAAAATAATGATGCATTTTATAGCCAGTGGTATCTCAGATGCAATAAAACAAGTAGGATAATATTTTACAAAAGGTTGACCTAACCCCTCTTCAATGGCTAATCTCTTTTCCATATTTGACAAATTCCTCAAAAGTAGAGATACCAAGCCAAGGTTCTGCAGCCAGACACTCCCCAGCCCAGCAACAGTCTCCTATTTACCAGCCGAGTGACCTTGACCTGAGTCACACTTCTTTAAAATTTTAGTTTCCTCATCTATAAAAGAGGGCTAACAATAATACTTGCTTCATAGGCTTTCTGTGTGTGCATTACACTGGATAATACGCATAAAGTCTTTTGCACAGTGTGCAGCACACGGTCAACATTCAGTAAATGTTAGCCATGATCGTAATCAATCATCATCATCACCCACCTCTAGATTAAATATGACATACTTGCTAAAACTTTGTCTGCTTCTGGGTCCACTCCAGTTTGTCAACACCCTCCTAAATAAAACATGTTTTGTCAGCTCTCCTGCTCTCTTCAAACCACCTATTGTGCTAGTTCCCTTTTACTCTAAAGACAACGATTTTACTATCTTTTCATTACATCTTTATTGTTTCCTTTAGTTGTGTCACCTTGACTATATTTTTTAGGAAAACTTTTCATTATCACTGTTAATCTGTAAAGCGCTTACTATTTTGTCACACCTGGCTACATAAGTATTTTGTTGGAAAATGGACGCAATAGGCTCTCACTAGTTCGGCTTACATGTGGTATGGAAGGACAATTGCTGCCTTTACTCTTGATAGGCTTTCTCTACTTACAGAGCCTAGGTTATAGTCTCTCAGATACAGATGAAGAAGAATGGCCAAGAAAGTATTTGCCGAAGAAATTTTTACAATTTACACATTCAGGCAGACATGTGGAGACTAAGTATGAATACCAAAAGGGCAGAACAGCATGCAGGAAGAAGACAAGGGTGGTTCCCAACTCCAGGCGGTTAGAGCTATTCACCACACGCCTGCCCATACCCAACTCGCCCACAATTCTCTGTTCCTATTATGAGCTACATGTTTGTGTCTCTCAAAAATCCTTATGTTGATGCCCTAACCCACAATGTGACAGTTTGGAGATGGGGCCTCTTTGGTAGGTAATGGGGTTTACATTAGGTCCTGAAGTTGGGGCCCTGTTAATGAGATTAGTGCTCTTATAAGAAAAGGAAGGCAGAGAAAGATCTCTCTCCATGCACATGCACCAAGAAAAAGCCACAGTGAGAAGATGGCTGTCTACAAGCCAGGAAGTGGGTTTGCATTATAATTTCAACTCTGCAGGTTGGCGTAACCCCTCTGCAGGCAGGCAGGAATCAACTGCAGGTACCTTGATCTTGGAATTGCAACCTCCAGAGCTGTGAGAAATAAATGTTTGTTTTTTAAGCCAGCCCCCCCAGTCTGTGGCATTGTGTGATAGTGGCCTGAGCAGACTAAGGCAGTAATTGGTACCAAGAGTCAGGAAAGACATAAGAAACGGGTAGCTTCAACAGTAGCGGCAACTCCTGCAACCAATTTGCGTATTAAGAACCAGGGCCTCTCAGATCTAGGAAACAACTGCAGATGGTGTGGAGACTGGCTACCACTAAATCCACAAAAATGCTACTGCAAGTTGCAAGCACAAAAAATACTCCCAAAAAGGGTCAAGGCTTTTGAACAAAGATATTAATTCCCAAAGCAAATCTGTATGATATTTAATACAAGGAAAAATTATAGATCCAGTAGCCATTCATCCCAACAGAAAGCACTGCCACCGGTCTATTAGTTAGCAATGTCATCAAGAGTATAATTTTTTAAATATAAATGACAACATGTGACTAAGGCAGAGCTTAGGAAAAGGGCAATATCGAAGTCTAAACTTATCACAGGTGAGGATGGGATTTCATGTTAGCTAACCTAAAATGAGAGGGAACAGGGAAAGCATCAAATTAACAAATTCAGTGGCAGCCTGATACTTCTGTAGTCAAGTGTGACAAAATAGTAAGTGCCGTACAGATTAACAGTGATCATTAAAAGTTTTCCTAAAAAAAGAAAAACATATATATATATATATAGAGAGAGAGAGAGAGAGAGAGAGTCAAGGTGACAAAACTAAATGGACCAATGAAGATGTACCAAAGAGACAGTAAAAATCATTATCTTTACAGTAAAAGGGAAATAGCAGAATCGGACGCTTGAAGAAAGCAGGAGAACTGAGGTAGTAGCATGCCACAGACTACAGGCTTCCTCTGAACAGAGTGGATGTTAGTTGAAAAAAAAAGTAGAAGAATCAAGGGACTGTGAGGAGCTCCAACCAAGCTAAAAATTTTTGCCAAAGTGCAGTTTTTAAAGGAAAATTCAGTATCTCTAGAATTTTAGTTACCATCCAGCTCAATCCCCTTGCAGTTAAGATGAGAAAAATGAGACATCCCCTAAGGCTTCAAAGCTAAGGCACCAACAGAACCAAGATGGAACAACTTAGGTCCGAAATCTGGATTCACAGCTTTCCCTCCCAAAAGTTTATAATCTAGTCCAAGAATAAAAACACAGCTGGAATTATCCCATGAAAAGCCAAGGATACAAAAGTAAAAGACTGGTCACAATAACAAACCAACTAACACAAGGTTCTATGCTCTCCCCTTGAGCAGAGAACTCTGAAATGTGGAGATATTGGAGCCCCTAACCCTCACCTGCAGGACGCTGTTCTTCACTCCAGTGCAACAATGTCCAGACCACACCCAGAGCTGATGATATATTCGGTCATCAGTAGCTGAATATGTTCCACACAAAAACATGCTTGAGATTAAAACTGTGAGGCTGAGCTGTTGGGTTTTGGGGCCATTGCTTAAGATTAATATTCTTGGATCTTCTGGCCAGTCTTGTTTTTCAGGGAAACAAGACACAACTCAGTATTTTAAGTTGTAGCAAATTCTCAAAAGACATATAGAAATGAAGTCTTGAGGCTTTATTCAGATCTCCTGTCCACCCTGACAAAAAAAAAATTTAAAACAAAAAACATACACATAAGAAAAAATAATCTTACCTGATGGATTTTGTAAATACAGGAAAAAAAATACGCAGATGAATCTTTTTCCTTGCCTTTCATCCTCTCTATAACAGCTCTGCACAAATCTCTAAGAATCAAAGAAGGCTTTGGGAGAATTCCTGTTAAGACTTGTTGGCAACCTTCCAACACACAGAGCCACATGGCGGAGATGTTTTCAGAACCTGCATTAATACCTAACAATGGAGATGTTTTCAGAACCTGCATTAATACCCAGCAACGGAGATGTTTTCAGAACCTGCATTAATACCCAGCAACGGAGATGTTTTCAGCACCTGCATTAATACCCAACAACGGAGATGTTTTCAGCACCTGCATTAATACCCAACAACGGAGATGTTTTCGTAACCTGCATTAATACCCAACAACGGAGATGTTTTCAGAACCTGTATTAATACCCAACAACGGAGATGTTTTCAGAACCTGCATTCACACCTGACCATGAGCAGGCAGAGCACACACCTGTAAACCTGGTTAGCACGAGGCTCTACAGCTGGTAAAATAAACATAAATACAATTTCTTCCTAAATGCCCTTTCTTCCTTCAAAACTCAGAGTCTACACATGACTATTCTCAACCCTGAATGACACTCCCAGAACTACCAAACTCAGCATCTACTTCTCAAGCATCTTGCATCATCAATCTCCAACATCCTGCCTCTCCAATCAGAGTCACAGACACAGTAGTTTTATTTGCAAAGCTCAGAAGTTCTCCGAGCTTTTTGTATTCAACACCTTTGAAAAATCCTCAATCCCCAATCCCACGGCAACCCTCTACCATAAGGGACAGAAAAGTGTACAGTTGCCACACAGTATCACAGGACTGCTCAAAAACTTGCAGTCTGTTATGGTTCGCTTCATGTGTCAACTTGGTTAGACTACAGTACCCAATTATTCAATCAAACTCTAATCTGGGTATTGCTGTGAAGGTATTCTACAGATATGATTAACACTGACAATCAGCTGACTTTAAGTAAAGGCAAAATTATTCTTGATAACCCGAGTGAGCCTTTTCCAATCAGTTGAAAGGCCTTAAAAGCAAATACTGAGGTTTCCCTGAAGAAATTCTGACTCAAGACTGCAACATCAACTCCTGCCCAAGGATTTCCTTATGTGTGAATGGCATAATAGATACATATGTAAAACCTCCTACAGGTTCTATTTCTCTGGAGAACATGGATTGATACATAACCCAATGCCCTCTTTGCATCACTACGACCTCTTTAAATTAGGGTTGCAAACTCAATTGTTAATGGGGGCCTGACAGGTAATGTCACTGGTGAAAATGTCTGCTGGACAATAAATGACAATGAACAGGCTGCCTCAGTGTCCAAGGGACATGAGAGAGTTCTGAAAACTACACTGAACAGGGGACACATCCACTTACAGGGGACGGCAGAGTTGCCAGATTGCAATTGGGGCCAGTGCTGCTAAATGCTCTATTTGTTCAAGAAAGGCCAGAAGTCCACACTTTTAATATGTAACATTTTATACTGCATGTAAAATGTAATGTGTTACAATTCTTAACTACTTGCAACTAATTCAAATTTAAGGTACCTAGTAATTTAACTCTATGAAAATCAAATACAATGAGTCTGGGAGCCAGATGGGAGAGGGAGAAACAGGCTCTCATGTGGTCCTCACAACGTCCCTATGAGGTAGGTACTATTATTAAGCCCCTTTTGCAGATGAAGAAACTGTGACATCAAAAGAATAAATAACTCAGGCAAGGTCACATACATAGAAAGCGGGGCTGCCGGGATGTCAACCCAGGCAGACCACAGGGCCATGAACAACATTGCACACCTTTTCGAGCATCATGATTGAAGAGTTTTAGCTCTGAATTTTCACTTCTGTTAGGCTTATAAAGGCAGTCATGGAAATTTTACAGGTAGAGAATATGTGGCCCAGGAAACTCAAGACATGTTGAAAGTCTAACCCATGTAGAAGAGTCAAGAATTCAACTGAAGCCTTACTCCTTTGCCTTTCAACTCAGAACGTACACCACTGTCTCAGGAAAGCTCACCACTAACGAATTTCTAATGAATGGTCTTGCTGGGCTTTTGTATTATTATTATTATCTACTATTTTTAAAATTAAACATTTTAGTCCTTGAATCAGGTTTAGAAAATATAATAATCCCCAGAGTGCCTACCACTCAATTTTTAAAATTAAATGTTTCAAGTACAATAGAAATCTCACACATATTCTTTACCACTGCAGAACAAACCAGGATCCTGAATTTTGTGTATATCATTCACAAACATGTACAATTTATTACACTGTTACTTTACATGCATACATGTAGTATTGCTTTGCATGCTTTTAAACCTGAACTAGGTGGAAACATAAGGCATATACCCTTCTGCAACTTGTTTGTTTCATTAACATTATACATTTGACATTTATTGACTTTTACTATTGCATAGCACAGGATGGTTACCTATTTGTTTTTATTAGACATTCAGGCTGTACCAGGAAACAAAGCAGCTTTGTACATGTCTTTTTATGAATAGGTGTGAGGCTTTCTCTAAGGGTGGATAAGTGGGGGTGGCTAAAATAATTTTACTATAGTTATATAAAATGCTAACATTGGGGGAAGTGGGTGAGTTAGGGATATAAGGGGACTCTATGATTTTTTCAACTCCAAGCAATTCACCATAGGATCACAATGCCTTGGGCTGAATCCCAGACACAGACGAGACTTCCACAGCAGTAGAAATGAACAGGCTCTAGGCTCCCGCATCCCAGAAATGCCACAAAACTGCCAAATGAAACTGGCTGTTTGTATTTGCATAATAGCTGAACTTATATACGGTCAAGTATGGTTAACTAAAATCAAAGCAATTCTTTGAATATTTATAAACCAAGACAAGCAGAAGGTATTTATACTAAAAAAGCAACAAAGCTCCATTAGTGAAAAAGTCTTTCAAGCTACCACTCTCTATCCAATATATGAAATGACTTGCCTTTTTCCTAGGTTTAAATTGTATCTGACATATTTGTTTAATTCTATGCATTTGGGGACACATCTAGAAGTTTGAGGCCCTCCAACTATAAGGGATGGGAGGGCCTCTTGGAATTTAAGCATCTATTCTTTGTCTTCCTGTTCTTTCCAACCAGTGAGATACCCTGTGCCAGGAGAAAAATCTGTTTATGTAAAGTCTCCTGAGAGTGGGACTAGGAGCTACATGGACCAAACCCAAGCCCAGCCATCTCCTCTAGGAAGTCTGCCAGGGCTAACCTCATCTGAACCACATCACTCATCTCCTCCTCTCTCCCTTTTAGACTTACACATTCCCTTTGGTCTCAATCACTTAGCACTTGCGGATGTTTTGATTGAGATCATCTGTAAGTCCCTGTTATGTTTTCTCTTCCTACATGGATTGTAAACTTTTCAATGCATTATGTCAATCCATCAACAAGGGCAATTGCCAGAATACATCAGAAAGAAGCTGAAGAGGAAAAGAGTATGAGGCTTGGCAATGTCTCTGCTATTACAACTTAAGGATGCTACAATCTTTTTGAGGACTCAGATTCCTTGGCATTCTTCAGTTTCAAAGGTAGTTTCCTCCCATTAAACTCTATTGGTGGAATCTCTTCATTTTACCTTCCTCTAGTGACAGTATTGCATACAAGATACATGGACCCAGGAGACATAATCACTGCCAATAAGAACCATCTGATTATTTTATTTTCTTTTTTTGGTACCTCTCACAATACAAGTAGCCTGCTATCAACTAAGCACTATTCAGTACATGTTGGTTAAAGTAGCAAAGTGATAAGCCTGTGGCTGGGGAATAAACAGACTCAGCAGCTTCTTTATCTGAAGTGTGTGTTCTCTATCTAGCCTTCTCCATCATGGCCCACACTCAGGAACAGTTTGACATTTTAGCACCATATGGCTGAGTGAGGATCCAAAGGCCTCACTCACGAAAAATTGCCAGCCCACTTGGCATTTCCTACATTTGCCCAGGCAGATGGCACTAGGCACCCAGCTCACAGCTGCAGCCTGAGTTAGGTCTAGGAAGACCAGGGTCTCTCCAGGATGCCAGGTCAGCAAGGACCCAGGGCAACGGCAACAGAGCTTTGCAGGTCAGCACTTCAAAGCCAAAGCTAATAATCTAACACTCATCTACCCAGAGTTCTGGCACAGCTGAGACAATGTCCTGGTAGTTTTGCAACCACCTTTCTATCAGAGGTATCCTGTAACTATGCTCTACACCAAAATGCCGTATCTTTAAAGCACGCTGTGGTATGCACACTTACCTTGGGATGCTTGGGAACATCAAGAAACCTCCTAGGACTACTGACACAAAGCGAACAGAGAGGTGTGATAAGAGGGATCCCATCCCAGAATACACCTAGATTTCATCGTTAGGGATTTTTGTTCTACTGGGTTATGAAACACCCTTGCTTGTTATAATTTTTAAAGTGCTACACTTATTATAAGCTATAAACACAGAAATTTTCTAGTGCTTCTGTAAGAGCAGCTCCCTATACGATGAAACAATATCTATTAGTATGTTGTAAAAAGCAGGAAAGTTTCAGGTGGTTCCAAGGCAGGGAATGGACACCTTAGGGAGGTATACAGGCAGCAGGTGCCAGAGAGGTTAGCAAGCACCAGGCAAGCACCACAGAAAGAAAAGGCAAATGTGAATCAAAGACAATTTGCCTCAAGATCTGGAATGAGGATATTTTACAGGCAAAAGTGTTCAGACTTAGGCTGAGATCCTTGAATCACGTCCCTAAGCAAAGCTTTGTTGTAACTTGCCATGTCTCAGTTCTTTAGATCCTAAAATCTCTCTTAAAAAACATAAAAACATGCACATACTAATAAATTCCCAAAAACTAGGTCTAAGATTTGTTTGGCTCACATAAAACTGAGCCCCATGCAGACACATGCTGTTCAGGAAAAGGGCCATGGGGCTCACAGTAATGCAATATTATATATGCAGAGATACAACAGAAATCTTCCCAGTTTATAGTGCTAAAGCTGGCTATTTAGAGGATGAGAAATTCCAAACGGACATACAATTTCTTGTGTAATAACAGTTAATCTGTGTAAAAACCTAACAGGATCATTAAGCAGGATTTTTACATTTCCTTTAAGGCTCACCAAATTTCATCCTCCCTCTAGTAAGCCTTGCATTCCGCTAGACATACATGCACTTGAGGGAAATATAATTTGCACGAAAATTCTTTTGTCATCTGACTTCACCTCTAAAGTCCAAGATGCAGCATCCAAGTCAGGGAACTTGGTTACTTGGAAGAAAAAAAAATGGGGCAATGGGTGGGTTGAGGAGGGTGTGAGAGCAAGTATGTAAAAATATATCTAGGACAATCTATTATTCAATGTTATTTAACTTCTCTTAAACTGCATACTTCATTAGAATGCGCTTAAATGTTTGTGATATAGAAAATGAGAGAAATAGACTGGAAGAGATAATATTCTAACAGGATAAAATACCTCCCAAAGCCAGAAGTCCACATAACAAAGCCAAGAACCCAACATCTAAAACCACAACATGGCAGTATTCATCAAACACTCAGAACAAAGATTGGTTTTTGTAGCAGGAACCTACGGTGACTTTACAGAGGAACTCAGCTTTGAAAAGTGGCTGGGTCTTAAATGTTTTGGCAGAAAGACTTCATTAAATCAGTCTTTTTCTAAGGCTGGCATGGGAGGAGTTTCAAAGTCTCCAACCAAAAGCTACAGAAGTCCTCACAGCATGGCCATCCTAGGAGAGGCTTTCCAAGGCTTTCTTTAAAAAGCTGGCAATCCTTGATCCCCTCCTTCCTGGTCACTGTGATTTCAGAAGTGTTAAATAAAATGCAAGAATTTCAAAGCACCAAAAGCTGGTTTGTTGCCAGTATAACTGAAAGAACGTTGAGGCCAGGTGCAATGGCTCATGCCTGTAATCTCAGCATTTTGGAAGGCTGAGGCAGACAGATCTCTTGAGCCCAGGAGTTTGAGAGCAGCCTAGGCAATGTGGTTAAACCTCATCTCTACAAAAACTACAAGAATTAGCTGGATATGGTGGCATGCACCTACAATCACAGCTACTCAGGAGGCTGAGGCAGGAGGATGACCTGAGCCTGGGGAGGTTGAGGATGCAGTGAGCCCTGATGGCACCACTGCACTTTAGCCTGGGCAACAGTAACATCTTGTCTCAAAAAAGAACATCAGCAGAGGAAGAACGTTTAACAGAGATCTAGAAGGCTTGGATATCCCTTCATCCCATCTAATTTCTTCATGCAGTTTGAAATTAAGAATTTGTAATAATTGGCCGGGTGCAGTGGCTCAAGCCTGTAATCCCAGCACTTTGGGAGGCCGAGGTGGGTGGATCACGAGGTCAAGAGATCGAGACCATCCTGGTCAACACGGTGAAACCCCGTCTCTACTAAAAATACAAAAAAATTAGCCGGGCATGGTGGCGTGTGCCTGTAATCCCAGCTACTCAGGAGGCTGAGGCAGGAGAATTGCCTGAACCCAGGAGGCGGAGGTTGCGGTGAGCCGAGATCGCGCCATTGCACTCCAGCCTGGGTAACAAGAGCGAAACTCCGCCCCCCCCAAAAAAAAAAAAAAAAAAGAATTTGTAATAATTTAGATAAGTTCAACAGTATCCAAAATGATTCTATTTTCCTCTGAAGAAAGGATATGCTAGGGAAACCAGTAATGGAAATAAAAATGATGTTTTACATATTTAAGAGAAGAGACTTTCTTAAAAGCCCCAAAGTACCTTATAAATACATCTACCTACACATGATATATAACTATCATGTATTTATTTTTTAAAGCAGGACTCCTAGGAATATATACTAGGCAACACTTTGTTATATTAATCCAGATATTAAAACTATTTGAAGGTAATACAGTTATTATATAATAATGTTTATAGATATTGTCTTGTGCCTAATTTACCTTATCTTTAATCTGAATTCAGTGTTGTCATTAGATACATACACAGGTAGGCAGTAAATTATTGGGTTTATAGAGACTACGATCCATATAAGCTAATTAGTCATTAAAACTATCTTTTCCAAATAGTAAGTAAAATATGTTTTGGGGGTTTTCAAGAAGATCCAAACCTAAGTTCTACTAGTACCATAATGAATAACTTTTTAGTTGCCTAGAATTAAATTTTAAGCATAGACATTTCTATCAGTGCATGTCTGCCGCCTTAAGAAATGTCCTGGATCCACCTGACCTGTAATATTTCCCTTTGGGCTTAACAGAGTCAACATTCTTATAGTTGACTTAGTTAGAGGCAACTGTAATGTAACTTTGAGCTATTTTTTAGGCAAAATATCAGATAACTGTAAGAATATCAGATATTTTGCCTAAAAATATGTTATTTCGAAATTGTTTTCACCCTTTGCCCAACACCTCAAAAATACCTCAAAGTTATTTCCTATAATCAAACAGTTTGCCCACCTTCCTGTGTTCAGTATAAAATCTAGAAACGCTGCATCAGAAGACCTGGCCACAACCATCCCAAAAATAAGGGGGTTATCGGAGACTTAAGCCCTGAGTCATAAAACCTCCGAACTGAATTCAAGGAATGGAAGACACTGGTGGAGAATCCATCATTAACTGCACAGAAACAATTCCCAGGTGCAGATGTAGATTTTTGATAAAGAGAAGCCTCCACCAGGAGGAGGCTTGAAAGCCTGAATTTAGTTACTTCTCCATCTCCTCATTCTTCTACCCCACTCTCTACTTCTCCTTCTCATTTACAGCCTCCACCCGCTCTCCCCGCAGGCCCCATATCACCCCTCTGCTCTCTCCCTCTCCTCCACACTCCCACGGCTTGATGCTCTGCTTTCTGTGTCTTGCTTTCGCAGTATCCAGCTTTCTAGTAAATCGTCACTGAATCAACATCTTTCACTGGAATTTTGTGTAGACAGCACTGTCCTGGGAAGATAGAAAAGCTAAAGAAAGCCTCCTCCTTTAAGACATGTAAAGCCTGGACATAAATGGCCACAGAATCTTCATTGCTAGAGTCAAGACTGTAATACGGATTCCAGTGATTGATGCTGGGCCTTTCAAAGCCCCATCTCCACTCTCCAGAGTGCAGGCAGAGGGACAGGACATGGGGGAGACGTTGAAAGAATGGCTAAGAGCCAGGACTAACATAGAACCCCTTTCGGAAAGCTGGTGAAGTTTACGGACTCCTGGTCAGAATAATGTTTTTAAAGGCATAGAAATCATGTATTTACAAAGAAAAACAATTAAGTTGAAATACAGTTATCTAACCCTTAAAAAACAAATTTCTGATAGAGAGGTTTTGTGCTTCTTTATTAATAACATTGAATAACAGGACTAGTAGCATACAATCTAGGGGCTAGCAGCATGTTTCACAAGCACAATTTCACATTTCAAATACGACCATTATTTGCTGCCCACATTCACAACTGAAGGGAATGCTAAATTTCAGTTAGGGGCACAGTGAAAATAAAGGTTTGTTGTTGTTGTTGTTGTTGTTGTTGTATTTCCCCCAACTACATTAAGAAACCCTAGAATTCTCTCCATGCGCTTTTTGGTTAAGAGACTGCCACAGAGTTATGCTTCCCAGATACTAAAACGATTCACGTTTCTGAAAGTAATTACCCCAAAGTCCACTGTCAATTCAAATTGAATGCCAAATCCAATTTAGTGAGAAGGCAACACACAAACTACTAAAGAGGTAACATGAACCCCAATGTTTTGTGGATTGATAATGTGCCAATAGCCCGGAAATCTGATTTTCTGGAACTCAGGTGAAGTCTGGCCACTGAGCGTGCTGCTCCCTCCTGCAAGCTTCACTGCTTCATCTTGCTCTGTTCCTAATTATTTGAACTTTAAAAAATATATATATTTTAAGAAGTGCTTTGTTACATCTCTTTTTGGCACGTACATCATAGAAACTCACCATGGAAATTTTTCAAGAGGGACTTATGATTCATTAATGCCTATGGCATAAAAGATGGTGCAGCTGCAAGGTCATTCCCAGGCTCTGGAGAGGATGGTTCTGCCATCCCTTTGTCATTATGGTTTCTCAGCCTCCCACTTGAATATACCACTATGTCTATGCTCAAGCAAACAGCCCATAGGCTGATATAAGCCAGCACTAAGGAAGAAAAAAATGCAGGACAATCATGTTTTCAGCAACAGGGCCTTTCAGAAGATAGATTCTGAGCACACGTGATAACTTTTCTGTTACCACGCCAACATGGGTCTGATAACCCCTCTGTGTATGAGAATACAAGGACTTCATAAAATCTCTGTAGGAAAGAAAGAAATGACTTATAAAGAGGTTAAATAAAAAGGAGCATACAACATTATAAAAAAAAAATACAGCATATCCTTATTTTACAGAAAATAAAAGCAGATTATCAAAGAAGAGAAGGTCAACCATCCTACCATGGACAAGAGAATACAAGTTCACATAAGCTATGAAAAGAAGTTATCCCTCATCAGGAGATATTATTTCTAATGTCTCTTTTCTGAATTCAGTACATCCGGAAAAAGGATGAAAAATATTGGCAGACAAAGAGGGAATGAGCTTCCAGGCCAAAGCACCTGATATGTTTCTCCTATCAACAGGCTTCTGAAGAAACCGTAAGGCTCTGAAATATGCCCCGAGGGCAGCCCCCCAGAAAAGACTTATGGGCCAGGTTCCACTGCCTCATACTTACAGGATGGGGAGGATGTGGGAAAGGCAACAGCTGCTGACATTTACTGAACATTTACTGCAGGCCAGGCAAGGTACCAGCTGCTTCCAACACACTGTCTCATTGAATCCTTCCAAAAGCACTTTGTGGAAAGTCTTATTATTGTCCACCATTTTAGAAAAAAATATATAGGCTTAGTGAAGTGATGTTCCTAAAATAGCAAAACTAGTAAGAGCCTAGGATATAATCTGAGCTCCAAGCTCATTCTTTGAAGTGCTTTTCTGCCTGAGAAATCTATCCTCCTAAGACCCTAAATCTACTTTTCTAATCAAAGCATCTCCCAAAATGTCTAATGCAACTGCAGTGGTAAATGTATATTGTCTTATTATGGTTGGCAGAAATAGCAAGGTACAAATTAGCCAATGACTAGGTCATTTATGAGTATAGCCTCAAGTTACTCAATGAAACATCCATCAAGAATGAGCACTTGTCTGCTCCAAGCACTTTGAGTCTGCTGATTCTGTCTCTGCCCCTCATATCTGGAGATAACCTTGTCCTGTCTTGCTTTACCCCCACGCACAGTCCTGCATCAAGTTATTTCCTTCAAACACTAAGGCAGAGCCCACCAATTCAACAGCAAGTCAATCTTGATCTGCCTTGTAAACCTCCTGAGGTTTGGACTATTCAGCATCCTAATTCCATTCACACAGATCTTCCCCAAGGTGGCTTCAACATCTGCTTGGCTCATTCACTGCCATCCTTTACTTCCAGTTTTTAATACAGCTCCACACCCTCCACTCCAGCAGTCCTCACAGCTAAACACCAGGTGGCTTAATAAACAACATCCTCAACCTCCCCAAAACTTAAAAAGTCCCAGTGTGAGACCATAGTCCCTTCTCAGGGCTTCCATACATGCAGACACCATTTCCTACCCATGTTCTTAGAAACATCAGCAAGAGCAACATAATCTCCATAACATAATTACAAGGTACTACTTGGCCCCAGCCAGACTGGGGATGCTAAAAGACTTACGGAGGTTTGTTTAAGCCACAACCATCTCTTAAGGATGAGTTTTCTACTTATTAAATGGAAGGTGGGCAGCGTTTCCTTATCTCCACTAAGCACAACACACATAAAAAAAGTGACTTTCCATGATAGGACGAGTTACTTAATTCTATATACTTTTATCATACCCTGGAGCCAGTTTCTAGGAGATTCGATGTAATGTACAGCTCTGAAGCAGTTTTACCAGAGGGAAGATTTGTACCCACAGCTAGGGCAATTTAGTGGTTAAAGCCTGTTGCTTTGACCTCTGAACTGG